GTTATCCATTTTTTTCAGCAAAAGAAACGTGGATTCATGGGAATTGGCTCGACTGAAGGGAAGATCATTACTTTTGACCATGCTGAGGTGAGTTGATGTTGATGGGGGCTTTTGCGAGGGTAAGTTTGTCGCGCTTTCGTTAACACCATCCAGGATGGTGTTCTCATAGGATGTAAGTGAATCGAAGAACTGAATCTTTGGCTGAAGCCACAATGGGGCCTAGAATGCCGTTTCGTATTTGCACTGTCCGAAAGGTTTCGACCGCGTTCATACTTAGCGATCGGATAGCTGGAATCGCGCGAAACAGCCGCTCGGGCAATCCAAGCGATCGGATCGGGTAGGCACGCTCCTTCACCGGAGTAACGGAGTAGGATGACGCTCCGTCACGCTAGCTGTGATCTTCAGTAGGGCCAAATGTAGGGTGGGGGTGGTTGTCGTAGCGTGAGCAGGCAGGGCACTTAATGACATGAGTCGCATAGTCGGTCAGACTCTTAATACCGATAGCTGATTCAGTGGGATAAGCTTTAAACCCTCTGTGCTTTAAAAGATTCTCTAGTATGCGGAGCGTTTTGTATGAAATCACTGAGTACATATTCCGCGATTTGGATGGGCGGGGCTTCATAACCACTTCGCTTTTCTCACTAGCACACTCTTACTCCTTCCCGGACTACAAGGGAAAAGAGTGCGTGAATTTACGATGGTTATCGTCTCTGCCAAGCCGGAAGAATGTGTCCCTAGCTCTGAGCATTTCCCCCTTCTGTTCTCTACCTCAAAAACGGTACTGCTGATCGCAACAATATGCGTGGCTTACCTAAGAGAATTCTCGCGCCATTTTTTTGGCACTGCTTGGCTTGAGGGAGGGGCATTTTGTGCGCTTGCTAGTTCGTGTTAGCTGACAAGTCTCAGTGTGTTGAGACTTGTAAACTTTTGTGAAACCGAGGGACGCAGGTGAACCACTCTCACAGGTTTTGACAAGTTGGGCTGTGTTGACTTCGCCAGATACCATTTACTGTCCCTCCAAGCCAGATTGCTTCTATTTTTCTTCATCCATCGCGAACTACTTATGTACTTTTCAGGATATACAACAAAAGGTGTTAGCAGCCTACAAAGCGGCTACCCAATTGCCTACATAGAGCCCGGTGATCATTGATGATATTTGTTGAAAAAGTATTATTTTTTACAATTGTTACTGATTTAATGTCGTGCCGCTTCGTGCATATGCCGCAAAACGTGTTGTTGCAGAAATTGTCGCCTTTTCCGAGATTTACTATGTGCATTCTTCGACTTCTTCCTCTCTACTAGTTTGCATTTTATTTATCACCTTCTCTACCTGTGTGGTTCTGTACATGTGCACTATGTTCTAGTTACTCGTTCATTGTTTTAAACTTGACATTTCTCCCTTGCGAGGTGTATTATCTGCCGTCGTTTTATTACGTACCGGTATAAGAACGTTCATAAATGTCGATTACTATACAGTGTTGTAATCAACGAAACTTAAAGGCACACCCTGCATTCGAAGATGGTCAGCTTACGGATCAAATACGTTATGAATAGCAATTGACACACACAAAAAAAATATGAAAAAAAGCCGAGAAATCCAGCCCGAAATGCCCCATGTTGAGCCCCGTGTAGAATCACGGCCGCACATACATAGGGTGAAGAAGAGGCGTGGTCGGACGAGTTCTCACTGGTTGATTCCAGCGCTTCATCTTTATCACATCTTACGCACCATTCAAAATGGAGACAGCTAGTAGAGGAACAACCGCACCACCAGTAAGTCTCTGAAAATGAAAATGTGGCGAAGGTATGGGCAGTGGGCGGGGCCGTGGCTTCCACGCGAGTGGGTCCCGCTTTTCTCACGCATTTTCAGCTGCGAAAGTAGTACATTCTCCATTTTCAGGGCATGTCAGGTGAAGGAGTTTGTGCATCAAATAAACGCAGAGTATGCCTTTGAAATCGCTGTGAAAAGCTGATGGTGATACCCTGGGGAGGGTACGTGACAAAACAATCGTAATATGCCTCCCTGGTGGGCGTGGTGAGCGACGCCGCGAGATGCGTGTCTTGCTTGGCTGTCTGGATTCGAATGTCAAAGAAATGGGAACATCCATCGGAAACAGGTCCACCTCCGTTGCCCTCTCGCTGCTCCCCCAGCCCCATCTAGGTTCGTCGGACCTTACTGACTCCGTTCCAACTAGTCCAGCACCATTTCGTTGAGAGCGCAGACGAGCAGGAAAGGGAAGCTGCATTTCAGAGTACAGCAGTGTTGCGAGAGTCCTATCAGCGAGGTTGTAAATGCCTTAAAGAAAAAATTTTGTCCAATTAGAAACAAAGAAAAACAAACATTGGGGAAATGCATACACTCCACAGCACAGATGATCCGTTTCGCCCGTTGTCGTAGACGAATCATCGAAGTCTTACCAACCCCCCCCCCGGGCTCGTCAGTACGACAGGGTTGAAGACATGGACATGGACTACACAGGGGAAGGAGCTAAGAAATAGGACAAAAAGAGAAAACATGTAGAAAAAGCTCACGTGTAAAATTCATGCAATAAAAATGAGAAGGAATTGTACAGTAAAAATGAGAGAATGTTATAACAGTTTTGAGTACTAAATACGTGTAAGAGGAAGAAAATTGGATTGGTGTAGATGGGCTAAACCAACTAAGGGAATGTTGAGTAAAAGAAACACTAAACTAAGGGAATGTTGAGTAAAAGACACTGTCGAGCTGATTACAAAGGTAAATCAAAATTGTAGGGATAAAAGGAGAGTTAGTGTTGAACACCGCTGCTAATGAGAATACTTCTAACCAGCCTACTTATCTTTTTATAGTTATTTGCAATAGAGTATTTGTAACTTATAAATTTATTTTTGTAAATACATTTCACAATGCTAGTAATAATAAAATCTTCTTCGTAGCCATTTTTCGAAAGAGTGGTGACCATATCCGTTATTTTGCTTACGAATACATCGAAGAACGTACAAGTGTTTGCTAACCTCAACGTTTCCGTATATATAACAGAGGCTTTGTGAAATGTTTGTGTCACTATATGGAAATCTGATTACATTGAAGCTAAAATCGTCCGTTTTATTATACAACTTAGTACTAACTTTGCCAAGCCGGAGAAAATTTTTTCTGATTCTTGTCTTTCCCGGCTTTGTCGCTATACCCTCCGCCTTTCCGAAGCACTGTGCTACTACCATTTCCGACAAATGGTGAAAACCCTCACTGTCGCTCGACGATACATGTTTAGAAGAAAGGAAAGACTGAAGAATACTTTGGAAAACTGGGGAGAAGTGATGGGGAAGGGGTCGTTTCAGATGAGAAAATTCGAAAGTTTCCACTGACCATGAGACCGCCATTCTACTCATCATGATGTTCTGCCGTGTGGTAGCTTTTTGATCAGCAAAAGTGTTGTCCCCAGGCAGGGGTTGAACCCGTGCCTCATGCTTTCTGGGCGATGCGAGGGTCTGGCCGATAGCACCCTCGCCAGGTAGGCTTGAGGTATGGGTCTGAGTTTGAGTGAATGTGGTTCGGACTTTCGCCCATAACCCAGCATTCTTGTGATAGTTTATGCAGTTCCGAAAGAATGGACTATAGGAGGAGGGTACGGTATCGCGATTCGAGAAATGGCGGTGTGAGTACGACCACCATAACCACCTAAAGGCACATTCAGCGATAAAATAAGGCTATGACCTCTCAAATGTGTCGGACACCCCTTAGGCCCATGCCGACCCTCACCGGCTGCTAGCTACTAGCTAGTAGCCACTATGTTATCTTTCTCTATAACATTTCGGACTGCTTTTTCTGCTGCTTTTCTCCGCTAATCAGATACTTAGCACTTTTTTGTGCCTATTTGAGTTCCGTTTCCCGCAATTTGCGGTCGCGAACTGTGCCTTTAAAATCTTGCATTACGGTACAACCTTCTCCTGCGGTACGATCCCCTCCGACCACCATACCCTTTTTAACACATTTGCTTGAAATTTTGCCGAGTAGACACCCCCGTTCAGCTAAGTATAAGAAATAGCAATCTTGCCGGTCTGCGGAAATGAGGTATTACGTGAAGCGGAAAAAATATAGGAGGATAAGTTTGACCTCTTCAATTTTGATGGTGTGCCCTAGCTCGAGCGGCCAATAAAAGTTGGAGGTGACACAGTCATCGCGGCAACTGAGTCTAGCTTTTGGCTATGGCGAGCGGAGAATTTCGGATGCCCATTACTCAACTGTTACAGCTATCAAAACGGCTACTGCAGATCTGACTACCGTATGAAAATGTTTCCTTGTTCGACGATGGGCTGATTGTGAGCAACAGGGCACAAAAAGTCACTAGTTCGCTTGCGCGCGCGATTTTTCCACGCCCCATTGAATACAATTCACCCACCTGACCTTCAGTATCACAGTTGAATAACGGCAGATCTCGATCAGTGGAAAGAGCAATGAAGCTGAAATTTCCAGACTTTGAACGCGTTTGAAACGATTCCGTAGTTTAAAGGCAGCGCCCGCGTTCATTTGATGTTCCTACGCCCTCCTTAGATATCGTAGCTTTGTCGACAAGGGTGGAGGATGTACTAATTTCGCAGCTCAAAAATACGAGAGGATGGCGCCACCCGCTTGTGAAGGGATGCCGCCCCGCCCACCTGGCTGCCATAACTGCTTTGGCTTAGCCTTTAAAGGCTGAGCCCGCTTTCAAGAATAATGAGTTATGGAGCTCATATAATACGTGATCCAGTAGTGAAGAAAAAAAGCAGAAAAAAATCATGGAAAATGCCCTATATAGAACCCTATGCTGGCCAGGTGGGCGGGGCGGCCGACTCTTCACTAGCGAACGGCGCTATCCTCTCGCCTTTTTGAGATGCAAAACTAGTACATACTGCATCCTTATAGGGAGGGCTATGATATCCAGAGAGGGCGAACATCAAATGAACGTGGAAGCTGCCTTTAAAGGGGGCCTTGGCGTCTGTGGTTAATGCCAAATCAGATTTTCCAGGAGAGCTCGACTTGACTGACGTGACCACAACCTATTTGTCACGGACGGAAGCAAAGTCTTGGAATGGTTCCTTCGTGCCGCAGTGGGTAGGAAGATTGTGGCAGCAATACGGAATTCTACCACGACCCAAACGAATCCAATAATTGAAGTAGTACGAACATTCGAAGAAAACGGGTAACAGCAAGTGGAGATGGCGTCCAGCACCTGTTGTGAAAAACCCGGGAGGGGACACAGTTCAGATGTTCGGAGGTTGTCGATTTTCCGTTTTATGCGCTCATCATTGGCAGAACCCCAGTAGGGGTCGGCCGACTGGGGAGAGAAAAGGGAAAGAATTTGCGCGCCGTGAGAAAAAAAAATATTATTCTTTTGTTTGTGAAATTTCTCCGTTTCACGTTGGTCGGTCTGAGGAGTGGATGGGAATGGCCTAAGATTACTACGCAAGCACTGTTTCCCACTGCAGTCCGTGAAACTTGCCTGGAGAGCCCCCCCCTTCAACTAGGCGCCTGCTACTGAATATAAGATAGTTCGCGAGTCAAGAAAACTTTGTTATCACTGACCTCTTCCAAAAAGCAATCTTGTCAAAAGATACACCTAAACTAGCCTAGCGAACCTCAATCAGTGCCTCATAGGCATTATAAACCTGCAGCAATTTTGAACAAAAGTTGACGGCATGGCACATTCCATAGGCTAAACGACTTCGGAAGTCGTTCTCTTGTGAACAGCTTCTCATACTTTCTTACTAAGACTGATGTGTTTAGGTCTTTAGATTCCAAAAAACCTTGGTTTTCTAGGCCTGGTCTCGTCGCCAAGTCGAGAGCGATGAGTTCTCGCCGTGCCGCCCGTTCGCCCGCCTTTCATCGCTCGACTGCTCTGCGATGAGCGCTGAGCGATGAACTGTTTTGGAAAGACGACGACTTTTTGTCGCTGAGAATTTCAACGACAAAGAGGCCAATTCAGTTAAATAGATGAAGCGAGAGGTAAGGTCTCTCTCTTCGCAGTGTGGTAAGCGGATGAAATGGGGCGTATGATTCGAATACAGTAACATTCGTTCACCTCACGCCTCAACACTTGCCTCGCCCCTTTGCTTCGTTGTTCATTTCAAGTTCAATACATCGCCTTCATCATAATCATCATGCACAAGGTATGGC